GAAAGACAAACACGGTATATACTCACTTATATAGACCTATAAGATATAATAAACATAATGAAATCTATACACCTAAAAAAGATAATTAAGAGAGCGGACATGGGGTAAGATTATCAATCCTCGTTTTGAAAGACAGATGGGATACGCATTGAACATTGACAGGAGTCTACTGAGCGCATTGGAAAGACTCTAACTAGCAGTGTTTTCAAAGCAAAGACTCGTGACCAAACCTTTGGCAGGGTGCAGGGAATCATAAGAAAGAAGGGGAGTTAGACTGATGAGGAAAGGATAGGAGCTCCACAAGGACCAAAGATATCTGGGCACAGGGTCTTTTCTGAGACTGACATGCAACCAAGGACCATGTATGAATGTAACCTAGAACCTCTGCTCAGATGTAGCCTGTGGTAGCTCAGTAACCAATTGGTTTCCCATAGTGAGGGGAACAAGGACTATTTCTAACAGGAACTCAATGGCTGGCTCTTTGGCCTCCCCACCCCCAAGGGAGGAGCAGTCCTGTTAGGCCACAGAGGAGAGCTTTGCAGCCAGTCCTGAGGATACCTGATAAAACAGGATCAGATGAATGGGGAGGAGGTCCCCCCTATCAGTGGACTTGGCAAGGGGCACGGTGGAGAGTAGGGAGGGAGGGAGGGACTGGGAGGGAATGAGGGATCGGGACACGGCTGGGGTACATATTTAATAAAATGTAACTGATAAGAAAAAAATAAAATACGAAAAAAAAAAAGAATATTTTCAAGCCACGCACTGTGGCATACGCCTGTAGTCTCAGCACTCTGGGAGGCAGCAGCAGATGGACCTCTGTGAATTCGAGGCCAGCCTAGTCTACAAAATGAGTCCAGAACAGCCAAGGCTACACAGAAAAACCCTGTCTCCAATAAACAAGTATAAGCGTTCATGGTTACCTAGGCAATAGAACTTCTTAGCCAATGGAATGACAGAAGAAGACTGTAGCTTGACTTCCTTGAGCTTGACGTCCCTGAATATTGTAAAAGAATGATACATTTCTTTAATTAAATTTCATTTTTTATATTAAAAAAAAAAGACTCATAACCAAACCTTCAGCAGAGTGCAGGGAATTAAAAAAAAAAAAAAAAAAGGAGGGGGGGAGGAGTTATTGTGACCTGGAGAGGACAGAAGTTCTACAAGGACCAAATATATCTGGGTACAGGGGTCTTTTATGAAACTGTTTTTCCAAACAAGGAACATGTATGGATGCAACCTAGAGCATCCATACATGCTCAGATGTTGCCCTTGGTAGCTCAGTGTCCAAGTGGGTACCCTAATAAGGGGAACAGGGACTGTTTCTGACATGAACTCAATGGCGAGCGCTTTGACTCCCCCCCCCCCCCGAGGGAGGAGCAGCCCTGCTAGGCCACAGAGGAGGACTTTGTAGCCAGTCCTGAAGATACCTGATAAACCAGTATCAAATGGAAGGGGAGGAGGTTCTCCCCTATCAGTGGACTTGGAAAGGGGCAGGGAGGAGATGAGGGTGGGAGGGTGAGATTGGGAGGGAAAGAGGAAGTAGGCTACAGCAGGGATACAAAGTTAACAAACTGTAACTAATATTAAAAAAATAAAAATTAAAAAAAGATGTTTCGATTGATTTTAAGAATAAAATTTAATATAGGCATCTAAAAAAAAGAAGATGGAAAGATGGGTAATAACTAAAGGTAAATATGAGCAAAATACAACAACATTTGTGTACGAAAGTGTCATAAAACATTATTTTTTATGCTAAAAGCTATAATCACAGTAGTAGAAAACTGGGTTGGCAGTTAAGAACATTCAATACTTTATAGAGGACCTGTATTTTACAACTACCTGTAACTTCACCTCCAGGGTTTTGAAACTTTCAAGCCTCTGCAGGCACCACACTTAAATACAAAACAAACAAACAAACAAACAAACAAAACAAAAAACACATTCAAACACATAAATACACATTGTTAAAAATTAAGAAGAATAAAATTGTTTTCTAAAAGTAAAATAAATAATTTTTAAAAATTAAGAGAAAATATGGACATAATGTGATATCACATGCCTATAATCTTAGGAATTAAAGAGACAGGAATTTCAAGTCCAAGGCTAGCCTAGGTTGCACAGTTTGAGCAAGTCTGATCTACATGAGACCCTAACTCAAAAATAAAAGTAATCTACAACAAAAAAGTAATGAAAAGATAAATGAAAGACATTAACATTATTTTCAAACACATAAAGAAATGTATGCATGCATATAAGAATATACATATATATACAAAATTATGCTTTCACACTCATATACTTATATCACATTTTATGTATTTTATGTATGTACTGTACATACATAAAATAACATGGATGTATATGCATATAAATACATATTGCCAAAGAGGTTTAGCCACATATGCATAGCCATACACAGGCACAAATATACACAGAGAGAAAAACAATTTATGTGTCTATGGAGATATACAAATGCATAATAAACACATGCCAAAACCATACCACCCATCATTACTATCATCCTTCCATTAGGATATGTGCAACATTAATCATTCATATCTGTACAGTACTGTAGACACAGTAGACTCTCCCCATAAACATCACCACCTACTTGCCAATTTATGGAAATACCTTCCAAAGAAGGTGGTGGCTGAGCACAGAATTGGAATAGAAACCCACCCTGCTAGATTCAAAATCTTGATCTCCCACTGACAGTCCCAAAGGGATTCCACAAGAATATAAACCCTGCAGATTCCTAAAGAAACACTCATAAGAGAGAGAGAGAGAGAAAAAAAAAAGCTTGTTCATCCTTTTGTCTTACCACATAATTATCTGTTTTCTATTGTTTCTGTGAACAGTGAATTAATTATTCAGTTAAAATCCTAACTGAGCAACAGTGGCCTTGACTACTCTGAAGTCAAGACACTCAAGGGAATTTCACAGAATGTCACAGTTACATAGATCTAATATAGTATCTGGTACCTACCTAGCTTGGTGCTGGCTCTTCCAGGAAGGAGAACTACTGACGTTCAGAAACAGTGAGGTTGCAGGCTCAGGGTAGACATCAAAGAACTTGGTGGCATGCCAGGAGTGAGGTCTCCAACTCAGATCACTTTTCCTGGAAAAGAATGCAGACAAAGAGGGACTTCACACACTAGACATCTTCCTGTATGGGAAAACAGCAGGAATCTAACAAAGGAAACTAGTAGTATCTGCTGTCACCCAAAACACATCATGTCTCACAGGTGCTTTCTGTATACAGGCATACACATTATTTCAGATGGTTGCTAATGACCAAATTGCCAAGATGCAGAGTGAGAATCATAGGTTCTAATGCCACCCTTAGCCTCTCTAATTCATTCTTTCAGTGTTTGTCAGTTAGAAATTTTATAAACTTTTTTTTTGAGAAAATTTCTAATGTACCCCAGACTAGCCTTGAACTTCTGATCCTCCTCCCTCTACCTCTCAAATCCTCAAGAGCACCCCCAACCCCAGTTTTATGCAATGTTGGGGATGGTACTCAAAATTTTCTATATACTAGGCAAGCACTCTACCAACTGAGCTATATCCCCAGCTCTTATTTTGTTTTGTTATTATTATTCTTTTTGAGTTTTTTTTTAAAGCCAGTATATGTATGAATCTTGGGACTGATCCCCAGTATCCCCAAAACAACAACAAAATACAGTCAGGGGAAAACCACAAACATGCAGACCCACTCAAGGTCTCTTTATTTTTAAAGTCACTGCATGAAGCTAACTTTACTTCTCAGAGCTCCAATTTAAGATAGAAATGACCTCACAATAGACAGTTTTTGAGCCAGTCAAGAATGGAAAGAATCTCCTGAACAGCATTAGGTAAATAACAGAAGAAATACATTCTCCTACAGGCAAAAACTACTAAAGAATGTTATATAATAAAGAATATTTTCTAAGATAAAACCAAAAAGTGTTAAAACACAAACTTTTAATGACTTTTAAAGTTTTAGTGAGTATGCAAGGAGAAAAAAATAAAATGTTGACTTTATAATAATTTTCTGAGAATTAGAAAAGGAATAAAATGGACAAATTCATCACACTCCAGAACTAAGGAATTACAAAATATGGAATATACCTCATAGAGTCCCTCAAAGTCTTCATAAGTAAGGCTCTAACCATGTGCATTTCATTTTCTGCTGGGTTTTCCTGTGTTATAATATCTATAATGTTTTCATATCTCTTTTCAGTTAACTCATGAGAGAAATAAACTAGACTGCCTGAATGTGAGGGCAGAGGTGAGGGAAATATAGCTAAGTAAAATACTGCCTCGTCTATAATGACACTGTTAGCACCTCCACACTGTAATGTCTTGAGATTAGCTGAGGCTATGGGAGAAAAATGTCTAGGAAAACTATTATTGGTAAGCAAATTCTAAAACAGTAGCAATAAACTTGTTTTTTTACAAAAAGTGTAACAGATTTTAAATGGTTGTAATGCCTTTGCTAGCCTCCCATTAGTTGGATGTGTGTCCCTTCCCCTTCATTGCGAGCTCACTTAAGGTAACCAGAAAAATTGACAGAATGGAGCTAGATGTGGTAGCTCTTACCCGAAATCCTAGCACTCAGGAAGCTGAGATAGGAGGACTGCTGTAAGTTGAACCTAGCTTGGACTACAAAGTAAGTTCTAAGCAAGCCTGCGTTCACTGCATAAGACCCCATTTCCTTTTTTAAAAAGAAATAAAGGTAATAAAATGGGAAGAAATAACATTATAGGGAATTTGTGCATGGTTGTAGAAAGCCTGCAACTTCTTCTGGGCTGTCTTAGAATGTTTTCTCTGAAGAAAGCCATGTAAGATTCATTAGTTAGTATGTAAGAACCAGAGCCTGATGCTATGGAAGAGGGTTTTCCCCAGCACCTAAAAGGATGTTTGTGTGCAAGGTAACTAGAAGAACTTTTCCAAGGCTAGTGGGAATAGACTAAAAAAAGACAAAGTGCATCTTTGGGAAGTGTGTATAAATAATGGACTACAAAGGAGAATCCAAGATGGTGTCACCAATCCCACAATGTGTCTGATCAGTAGGACAATGGTGACTGCACAGAGAACAACAGACCTAACTGTGGGCCCCAAAACACCAGCAACTGTGTTTCCCAGGTGACGGTAAACCCCACTGTGAGGGAAAAAAATCAGGTTAGAACTCAGGTCACCCAGCTAATCCTCAGGGAAAAGTCCCTGGGTTCCCACAGGCATGAAGTCTCTAGCACCTAGCCACACGTCTGCGAGCTGTGCTCCCTGTCCCAGACTGAACTGTAGGTCCCAAAACACTAGAGACTGGGTCTCCGAGTCTAGAAGAAACCCCACAATGAAGGAAACAAACAGGTCCAACCTCAGGTCAACCAGCTAATTCCCAGAAATATTCCTGGTTCTGAAGGCTCAGGATCTCCAGCGTCTAGCCACATGCCTTTATGCTGTGTTCACCTGACAGTGACCTGGGCACATAGCTACAACCTCAAGCCTCCTAAAGCCTGAGAGCCATGGCAACAGCTCCAGGTACCACTGCAAAATTCATCCAGTCTCCCTAGCTCTCCAGGATGGCTGCAACCAGCAAACGCAGTGTCTGGGCAACTGTAGCTCATTAAACTCAGAGCAAGAAAGCCAGTGGGGGCAGCTTTCTCCAGGGCTTCCCCTGGTAAGAGTAGAGACCCTGGGTTTCTGAGGAATCCAGTCAGTCTACAGGATCATAACCTGAGGAGAGACTTGGCAATTCACTGAGAACCACCACCAGCTAGAGACCAAACCTGCCAATCTGAGCACTGCTCTTGCAAGAACAACCAGCTTACTGCCCAGGGCTCTTCCTGCAGCACCCCACTCAGGACTACAGTGGGCACCACAAACTACCAGCCAATGCCAGAGACAACCAGATGGTTAAAAGCCAGCATAAACACACAATCAACAAAAGACAAAGCAAGATGGCATATCTGGAACCCAGTTATCTAAAGGCAAGCAGTCCTGGATACCCTAACACAACTGAAACACAAGAAAGTGACCATAAATCTATGTTTATGAAGATAATAACTGAGGAAACTAATAAAATCCATAAAGCAATACAGGACGATGCACTCAAACAGATTGAGGGCATTAGAGAGACCTGTAGAGAGGTAAATGAATAAATCACTCAAGAAGTACAGGAAAAAAAAAAAACAATCAGGTGAAGGAAATCAATAAAATGGTTCAAGTTTTGAAGATTGAAAAGGAAACAATAAAGAAAGCAAAAACTAAGGGAATCCTGGAACTTAGAGCAGAAAACAGGAACTACAGAATTAAGCATCTCCAACAGAATACAAGAGATGGAGGAAAGAATCTCAGGTGTACACGATGCAGTGGAAAAAAAAATTGATGTCTCTGTGAAAGAAAATGTTATATCTAAAAAAATTCCTGACACGAAACATGCAAGAAGGGAAAGACAATGAAAAGATGAAACCTAAGAATATTAAGAATAGAGGAAAAAGAAGATTCATGTCTACAAGGCCCAGAAAATATTTTTAACAAGATCATAGAAGAAAATGTCCCCAATTTAAAGAAAGCCATGCCTATAAGCATATGAGAGGCTTACAGAACACCTAATAGATGAGACCAGAAAAGAAAATCTTCCCTCCACATAATAATCAAACACTGTATGTACAGAAAAAAGAAAAAAATATTAAAAGATGCAAGGGAAAAAGACCAACTAATGCATTATGGCAAATCTCTCAGAATCACACCTGACTTCTCAACAGAGACTATGAAAGCCAGTAGGGCCTGGACAGATATCATGCAGACCCTAAAAGAACACAGATGTAAGGCCAGACTACTATACCCAGCAAAACTTTCAGTCAACAAAGATGGAGAAAACAGTATGTTCCACAAAAAAAAAAAAAAAAAAAAAAAAAAAAAAAAACAAGCAGTACCTATCACCAAATCAAGCTCTACAGAAGATACTACAAGGCCAAATCACATCAAAGAAGGCTAACTATACCCAGGAAATAAATAACTTCACTACAGCAAAATTAAAAGTAGTCAGACACACAAACACACTACCACAAACAACATCAAAATAAAAGAAACTAACAGTCACTGGTCATTAATCTCTCTCAACATCAATGGACTCAACTCTGCAATAAAAAGACACAGACTAACAAACTGGATGCTTTATTAGGACCCAACATTCTGCTACATATAAGAACACACATCAGGCACAAAGATAGATTTTACCTGAGAGTAAAGGGCTGGAAGAAGGTTTTCCAAGCAACTTGACCCAAGAAGCAGCAGGAGTAGCCATTATAATGTCTAATAAAATAGATTTTAAACCAAAATTAAAAGTGATAAGGAAGGACACTTCATATTCAAAAGAAAATTTCACCACAATGAAACCTCAATTCTAAACATCTAAGGCCCAAATACAAGGGCACCCACATCTGTAAAAGAAATGTTAATAAAGCTTAAACAACACATTGATACCCACACATTAATAGTGGGAGACTTCAACACCCCATTCTCATCAAAGGACAAATTGACAAAACAAAAGCTAAACCGGGAAATAATGACATTAACAGAGGTCATGAATGAAAAAAATGGACATCTACAGAACCTTTTACCCAAACACAAAAGAATTTACCTTCTTCTCAACATCTCATAGAACCTTCTCCAAAGTAGACCATATATCTGATCACAAAGCAAGCGTCAACAGATACAAGAAGATTGAAATAATCCCTTGTATCTATTATACCACCAGAGACTAAACCTGGACCTCAACAACAGAAATGGCAAAAAGTCTACAGACATATGGAAATTGAACAACTCTCTACTCAATAACAGCTGGTTCAGGGAAGAAATAAAGAAGTTAATGACTTGCTAAATTTAATAAAAATGAAGGTAAAACATACCCAAACTTCTGGGACAGAATGAAAGGAGTGCTAACAAAAAAGTTCATAGTACTATGTGCCTTCATAAAGAAATTCCCATTCAAGCAACTTAAAGGCACACCTGAAAGTCCTAGGTGGGGGGGGGGGGCGGGGGAGAAGCAGACACACTCAAGAAGAGAAAACTGCAGGAAATAATCAAACTCAGAGATGGAACCAATAAATTAGAAACAAAGAATCAACAAAA